CGGTTGAGAAGGGGTGTGATGCGTATCTAGCTTATGTGAGAGATGTTAGTATTGATACCCCTACAGTTGAGTCAGTCCCAGTAGTGAGGGACTTTCCAGATGTGTTTCCAGTTGATCTTCCGGGCTTGCCGCCTGACAGAGATATTGATTTTGGCATTGATTTGTTGCTGGGCACTCGGCCCATATCTATTCCTCCGTATCGTATGGATCCTCCTGAGTTGAAGGAGCAGTTACAAGATTTGCTTGATAAGGGCTTCATTCGGCCCAGTGTGTCACCTTGGGGTGCTTCTGTCTTGTTTATGAAGAAGAAGGATGGTTCTATGCGTATGTGCATTGATTATCACCAGCTGAACAAAGTTACAATGAAGAACAGGTATTCATTGCCTCGTATTGATGACTTATTTGATTAGTTACAGGGTGCTAGAGTGTTTTCCAAGATTGACTTGCGCTCAGGCTATCATCAACTGAAGATTCGAGGGCCAGATATCCCGAAAACTGCTTTCAGGACTTGGTATGGTCACTACGAGTTCCTTGTGATGTCTTTTGGGCTGACCAATGCCCCATCAGCTTTTATGCACTTCATGCACAATGTGTTCCGGCCCTATCTTGACTCTTTAATCATCGTGTTTATTGACAACATTCTAGTGTACTCCCGGACTCGGGAGGATCATGAGCAGCACCTGATGACTGTGCTTCAGACCTTGAGAGAAAAGAAGTTATATGCAAAATTTTCAAAGTGTGAGTTTTGGCTAGACTCAGTGGCATTCTTGGGTCATGTAATATCGAGTGATGGGATCCAGGTGAATTCGAAGAAGGTGGAAGCAGTGCAAAGTTGGCCTAGACCGTCATCAGCTAAGGAGATCCGAAGTTTTCTTGGTTTGGCGGGGTATTATCGTCGTTTTGTAGAGGGTTTCTCATCTATTGCAGCACCTATGACTAGGCTGACCCAGAAGGGTGCTCCGTTCAGGTGGACAAAGGAGTGTGAGGAGAGATTTCAGAAGCTCAAGATAGCTTTGACTACAGCCCCAGTATTGGTATTACCCACAGGTTCGGGGTCTTATACTGTATATTATGATACATCGCGGATTGGTCTCAGTGTGGTGTTGATGCAGGATGTTAGGGTGATTTCCTACGCGTCCAAATAGCTGAAGGTGCATGAAAAGAACTACCATATCCATGACCTTGAGTTAGCAACTATTGTTCATGCCTTGAAGATTTGGCGGCACTATTTGTATGGTGTCCCTTGTGAGATTTACACCGATTACAGGAGTTTGCAGCATCTGTTCAAACAGAAGGATCTTAACTTGCGTTAGCGGAGGTGGTTGGAGCTGCTTAAGGATTATGATATCACCATTTTGTACCATTCCGGGAAGGCCAATATGGTGGCCTATGCCTTAAGTCACCGAACAGAGTGTTTGGGGTAGTTTAGCATATCTACCAGCAGTAGAGAGGCCATTGGCGTTGGATGTTCAGGCCTTAGCCAGCCAGTTTGTGAGATTGGATATTTCTGAGCCGAGTCGAGTATTGGCTTGTGTGGTCTCTCGGTCTTCTCTTTATGATCGTATCAGGGAGCGTTAGTATGATGACCCTCATCTGCTTGTCCTTAAGGACACTGTTCAGCACAATGATGCTAAGGAGGTCACTATTGGGGATGATGGTGCATTGAGGATGCAGGGCAGGCTATGTGTGCCTAATATAGATAGTTTGCGTGAGTTAATTCTCTAGGAGCCTCACAGCTCGCGGTACTCCATTCATCCGGGTGCCGCAAAGATGTACCAGGACTTGAGGCAACATTACTGGTAGAAGAAGATGAAAAAGGACATAGCGGAGTATGTAGCTCGGTGTTTAAATTGCCAGCAGGTGAAGTTTGAGCATCAGCGGCCAGGTGGGTTGCTTCAAAATTTAGAGATTCCAGAGTGGAAATGGGAGCAGATCACTATGGATTTCGTTGTTGGACTCCTACGGACTCAGCGGAGGTTTGATGTAGTTTGGGTTATTGTGGATAGGCTGACATATGTGGCTTGTATGGTAGGCGATGTCGGTCTTCAGTGGGTTGGTTAGAAGCTGGGTGAGGTTAGATTATTGGGTACAGACTTGGTTCAGGATGCCCTGGATAAGGTGAAGGTGATAGAGGATCGATTTCGCACAGCCAAGTCCAGACAGAAGAGTTATGCAGATGGCACCATATGTGGCTTTGTATGGTAGGCGGTGTCGGTCTTCAGTGGGTTGGTTCGAGCCGGGTGAGGTTAGATTATTGGGTACAGACTTGGTTCAGGATGCCCTAGATAAGGTGAAGGTGATTGAGGATCGATTTCGCACAGCTAAGTCCAGACAGAAGAGTTATGCAGATCGGAAAGAAGGGCAAGCTGAAGGGCGTCACCCATGAAGGGTGTTTTGAGGTTCGAAAAGAAGGGCAAGCTGAGCCCAGGTTTATCGGCTCATTCGAGGTGTTGCGGTGTGTTGGGGAGGTTGCTTATGAGCTTGCCTTGCCTCCCAGTCTAGCAGGGGTTCACCCAGTATTCCATGTTTCTATGCTCCGGAAGTATCACGATGATCCGTCTCATGTGTTGGATTTTAGCTCAGTCCAGTTGGACAAGGATTTATCTTATGTTGAGGAGCCGGTGGCTATTTTGGACAGGCATGTGCGAAATCTGAGGTCAAAGAACATTGCTTCCGTAAAGTTTCAATGGAGGGGTTAGCCGGTCGAGGAGGCGACTTGGGAGACCGAGCATGATATGCACAACCGTTATCCTCACCTTTTCACCACTTCAGGTATGTCTCTATACTCGTTCGAGGACGAACGATTATTTTAAGAGGGGGAGGATGTAACGGCCCGGCCGGTCGTTTTGAGAGTTATAGCCTCGATCCCCTATTTACTACTTTTCCCATATCTTTTTCTACTTATGTGACTGGCCGGGAGGTTGTTGTTGTGGTTTCGTAGTGAATTGGGACACTTAGTCCCTAAAGGGAAGCTTAAGTCTTAGGATTTTTTACCGTAGTCAGAACTCTGTGAAGACGACTCCGAAATGGAGTTTTGTTGGTTCCGTTAACTCCGTTGGGTGATTTTGGGCTTAGGGGCGTGTTCGGATTGTGTTTTGGCGGTCTATAGCTGATTTAGGCTTAGATTGGCGAAAATCGAATTTTTGGAGATTTTGACCGGTAGTGGACTTTTTGATATCAGGGTCAGATTCCGATTTCAGAAGTTGGAGTAGGTCCGTAATGTCTATTATGACTTGTGCACAAAATTTGAGGTCAATCGAACGTGATTTGATAGGTTTCGGCATCGATTGTAGAAATTTAAAGGTTCAAGTTCATTAAGTTTGAATCGGAGGGTGATTCATGTTTTTAGCGTTGTTTGATGTGATTTGAGGGCTCGACTAAGTTCGTATGGTGTTTTAGGACTTGTTGGTATATTTGGTTGAGGTCCCGGGGGGCTCGGGTGTGTTTCAGATGCTTTACGGATTGAATTTGTACTTATGAAATTTTGCTGAAGTTTTCTGGTTTCTGGTGTTTTCGCACCTGCGGTGGGGAGACCGCAGGTGCGGACTTGCAAGTGCGGAAGGAGGAGCGCAGGTGCGGTTTGGTCAAGCTTGGTCTGTGGGACTATGAGAGTTCTCCCTGCACATTTACTTTTGGGACTACGAGACAGTATCTCGGGATATCTCCTGCTGTTTACCCCTGCGTGTTGTACTGTTGCCTTGCTATGTTTCCTTTTGTTAAATTCCAGTCTCTTATTATTTACCAGTGGATCTGACCTGACCTCGTCACTACTCGACCGAGGTTAGGCTTGGCACGTACTGGGTACCATTGTGGTGTATTCATGCTACTCTTCTGTACATGTTTTGTGTGCAGATCCAGGTACTTCTTATCAGCCCCACTATTAGTTGAGAGTGCTTGCTGTTATATGGAGACTTCAAGGTACATCTGCTGCGTCCGCTGACACAGAAGTCCCCCTCTATTCTCTCGTATGTCATTTACCTTCCGTACTTCTTTTATTAGACTCTATTGTATAGAGATACTAGTTTCCTTCTGTAACTTGTGACTCATGATGTTCCGGATTTTGGGAAGACTGTGTATTTATATAGTATTGTTTATTGTACATGCCGAGTGACATTGTTACTAGTTATCCAACTGTCCACTGCTGTTAGTTGCCAAGTTTTACTTTTGTTTTGTTATTTTTCGTAATTTGTTAGGCTTACCTAGTCGTAGAGACTAGGTGCCGTCACGATGTTATATGGAGCGAGTTTGGGTCGTGACAATTACATTCCATCACACTTCACTCGAACAACGATTGGGGTACTATGTATCTTTTGAACTCATACGATTGAACTTAGAATGAAACTTTAAGCTTTCTAGGTACTTCGGCGAAGGGGATCAGGTCATACCGTTGTGATCACGCAATATTTGCCATATACATAAGATTATTTCTAAAAATCCCCAAAATAATCTTTTTAATTGTCTTTTGATATTTTATATAATTTTAGGAATTCTTCTTTATTTGTTTGTTTGCATTTCTTTGCATTTGTGCACATTTAGGAGTACTTTTATTCATTAAAATATCATCAAAAGTATTTAATTCTCTATTTTTTGGCATTGTAGGCTTTTTAATTGATATTTTTGAGTTTAGGGACATTTTAATTGCTTTTCTAAAAAAAATATAAAAATAAAAAATCATTTTATGCATTTTTAAGTTTACTTAGCTAGCTAGTTTTTTAAGCCCCAATTAGCCTAGTAGGTCAGTTCTGCAAAATAGGTTTAATTAGAATTAAGTGGCTACTTTTGAAAATCAAAGCCAAAGAAGAAAGGAGCTGCTAAGCTTAAAATAGGACCTGGGCCAAGCATTTGGACGGCCCAGTTTTGCATCAAAGACACGTCCAATTCGCCCCAACCCAGGCCTCATATATGGTCCAGCCCTTTCAAAGACCAAACGACCCCGTTTTGACCTAGTTGATATCCGTTGTTCATAAAGATTCATCCAACTGTTGGGAACTAATAATACCCCCCTTATAAATTTCGGAACTAGCCCCTACCCCCAAACGACCTGACAGACCCATTCTTCACCCTCTCTTAACCTCCTCCCTATGCCGCCGCCGGAAATCGCCCACGGCAACGGCCTGTCTCCAATCACCTCCACATTTTCACCAGACAACCACCATATTCTTGTCATCTCATATATCTTCTCCATTCCCCTCAAAACTCTCTAGAGTTTCTCGATTTGTAGATCAACAAACTAAAGCCCTAGATTTTCCCTCCTTTTTAATGATCAACCACACCAGGGCTCCTACGACGATGTTGCTTATATCAATCAACTAGTTTCGTGAGACTTTTCGATTAAAGTTAGTTTCGCATCGTTTCATGGCCGCCGGAATTCGGTCAAAATCCGTTGACTGGCCAGCATCTTCTTCAAGCGATTCCATTCTGTTTCCCTGGCCTTGCAAGAGAAATTGTCACATATAACACTAACTGTATGAGGAAACTCCGGCTAGTGCTTGTGTAACAACTTCTCCGACTTGCCGAAACTTTCTTTTGGCGTCCCATTTAGCTCAAATAGGTATATTTCTATGTTTCTTTTGTTTACAGTTTTGTTTCTTCGATTATCATATTTTCTTTGTCCCATGCTATGATTCTATCAAATCTGATGACTTTAGTTTGCATTAATCATCAATTAGTCAGATTCACATGTCCTCTTTAAGTGTTAATTATTGTTAGTGTTAAATCATGAAATTACAATTTCATTTAGGTGAATTATTGTTTTACTTTGTTTTATCAGGTTTTAGTTAATTTAGGCTAGTTTAATTAGGTTATTGATAGAGTTAGTAAAATTGAGCCTAGGCAGTGTACCTGAACTTGTTCGACCCAGGCCCATATTATGAGTTCTGATAGGTATATTAAAAGAGTTAAAAGAAGTAAAATAAAAGAAAAGGGTAAAAATAGAGAATTTAGGGGGCAATTGTGAAAGCAAAACATAAGGAATCTTAGTTAGTTATTTAGGAAGCTTCTAGGAGGGACTAACTTGCAAGGAAATAAAAGAAATGACCAGGTATTAGGGACTAAAGAGTAAAATAGAAATGGAAAAGGGAGGCAAAAGAAAGAAATTAACTGAAAAGGAATCTCTGCATTTCTGACTCTCACACTCACTCATATAGACACACACACCAGTTACTCATATTCTCATCTACTCTCATTCCTCTAGACTCGCGCACACCTCACTCTTACAAGAGCAAAAAGGAAGCAACTCTCTGAATTCAAATCTGAATTTCAGATCTAGAATACAAAAATTTCAAAAAAAAAGAAGAAGAAGATAAAGCAAAAGAACATTGGATAGAAAAGAGATTTATGTACTGTTCGAAGCTGTTGTTGTTTGTTTCTATCTCCCTGGGTTCTAAACATTGTTGTATTTTAAACATTGTTGTTGTTCGCTGCTTGATTCTGCTGTATCTACCTTGCTGAGCTCCAACCTTCTATCATCCAGCCTTTATTTGACAATTTCTAATCAATTCCTAAACAGCTAGGTACACGTCTTAAATTTATACTTTCTATTCAATTCAAAAAATAAAATTTTGGTTATTTTGTTGTCCAGTTTTACCTACTGCTACCTGTTTGAATTTGTTATTCTCGATCAGGCTTTTGGCACAAATAGGATGCTTGTAAACTCAGTTGAAATGTGGTGATTATGTAATGTAATTTGATCTCATAGTTATTTCGTGAAGTTTACTCGAAATTGATGTTGAAATGCTTTGATTTAGCTAATGCCTAAAATCAACTATGATTTAAACAACAACAATAAAAGTGATCATGAGATTAGTTCTTTGATTTGTATGAACAACCATTGAACATCAAGTGTTATTAATTTGAAGCATAACTGATGACATGTGCCAAATCTCTAAATTTAACTGTTGGACTTCGATTTTTGGTGGCTTTGTTCGTTTGGAGTAATATGCATAGAATTCTGATTTGCTAGAATAATCCAATGATTATTTTTGGTAGAATGAGATGCCATTTGAATGAGTGAAAACCATAGCTTGGAGAAGTTTCTTTTGTGGAGAATATGTAACGGAAGCATGAAAGTAGTTTGTTTTGTTTTAGATTAGCATATCTTGTAATTTATGATATCAATTCTCAGATCTCTTTGATTATGTATGAGACAAAGCTGTTTGATCATAAAATATTTTTGCTTAGTATTGTTGGCCGAATTTTGGCACTGTTGGGCTTACTCTAGAACCCTAGATTTATCTGGGTCTCTAAAAGTGAATTCAGTTTAGTGTAGTTGAAATTGGACTTGTATACTCGTTTGGGGTCATTTAAATCCTATATTTATCATGCCCAGTGACTTTTCAAGCGGTGTAAGGGGTTGCTGGTTCACTAAACAACCAGTTATTCAAATGCTCTCAACAACAAAAAATGTAAACAAAAACCGTTAAGTTAATATTGTCCTTTTTAAATGGGTTACTCTTGTGTATATCTAGCAATTAGCTTCAATAAGCTTTACCTACCCACGAATGAATTTCATAACCCTTTGACCTTTCCAATAATCCCAAATCTTAGAAAATAAACATCTTGGAATACTCGTAGTTGCTTTAGGCATGCTTTAACTAATAATTCGTCATAGTTATAGGTACGGTTCTCGTGGCATAATTGTGACACATAATCCCAAATTCAAGTGCACGTTCACGTGACTTGACCTTACAACTTTAAAATAATAATAAGTAAACATGCCGTAAATCGCGGGTGTATTTCACGCGGCGCGATTTGCGATGTGTATAAAATGATAAGTGTACGACATCATAACTTGTTCAAATAAATTTTATAAGTACTTAAAATGGCCACAATATTAGTTAAAAGCGGTAAAAGGGTAATAACGCACAATAGGTTTAAAACATATAATAGTCAGACAATGAGGCCAGGTGTAATTGTAAAGCGACCGTGCTAAAACCACAGAATTCGGGAGTGCCTCACACCTTCTCCCGGATTAATAGGATTCCTTACCCGGTCTTCTGTGTCCGCGGACCATAAATAGAGTCAAACTTTTCTTGATTTGGGATTTAAAATAAATGGCGTCTTGGGACGTCGTAAATGATTATTCCAAGGGGCGACTCTTAAAAATGAAAATAAATAATCCCATTTCAATAATGTTACTTAAATTTGAAAACTCCGTTTCCCCGCAAAAAGGAAGTGTGACAGCTCTGGCAACTCTGCTAGGGAAACGAACCCAGAACTTCTGGTTCAGGGTTCAGAATTCGATCTTAGATGACTTCTATACATGGATTTTGTATATTATCTGATTTTACGTGTTTGGGCCTAATGTGCTAAATGTCGCTCTTTACCTCTTTAATATTACCGTGAATTGTATATAAACTGTTACAATACCCTCCTTCTATCTGAGTCTTCTATATCTTCCAGGAAGCGCACGCTGGCATGGCTTCTTTTCTATTAGAGTTTCATACCCCTAATTTTAGAACGAGGATCAGATAAGTTACAAAGTCGAATGACCTTTTGGTTCCCGGTACGTTGCCCCCCCTCCCGGCTCGAGTTGTCCACTCGGGTAAGCCAGGTCTAGAACTCCACACCTTAAGGTTTAAACTTAGAAGAACAAAGCCTCATGCTGGATCCCTAGTAGGTACGCTTGTTTGCATCACATGCATTTGACTTTGGGGACTCAACACAAGGGTTGGGTCCATCTAGGACAGGTGTACCCCAAAATAAAAGACCATCCTAATGCATCTTACATGCTACTTGTGCATTTGTTTGATCTGATTTGCATGTTGACCGACTTTTAGAATAGGGAAAGATAATCAAGAAAAACCATGAGAGAGAAGATAGGAGAGAGAAAATTTACCCGGTTCTTGAATGTCACGACCCAAAATCCACTAAAGGTCGTGATGGTGCCTAACACCGCCGTCAGGCAAGCCAACAGTGGATGATTAACTCAATTACTCATTTTCATATTTTTGAAATCAGAATTTCATAAATTAAGTAGTAAGAAATAGAATTTTACATGGTAACTGATAATATGTTCACGACTACAACAATGAACCACCCATAAGCACCTCCAAAATCCGGTGTCACAAGTACATGAGCATCAACTAGGAAATATAATACAATTCAACCTCTGTCTGGAATATAAATTAGACAGGAGAGTATAAATAACTCTGATGGAAACTCTGCAGGTTGCGGATCGTAACATAAAATGCATCTCACGGTAAGTCCCTGCAACATCTGCGCCTCTGCGCCCAGAAGACCGCCAGACATATATGTACCTGGACAAAAATGTGCAGCAAGTGTAGCATGAGTACGTAAATCAACTCGTTGGAGGAGTACAATTATACCATGGCAATTCATAAAGTTTGTCCGATCTTTACAATAACGAGTCTACCACTCTGCACAAGTCTAGTCTCAAGTCGTAACAAAAAAATAAAGGAATTTAATAGGCAAGAGACTGTTCAAATAGTACAGCTATAGCATGGTGTGAGCCTAAGTCTACCCGAACAATAACATAAATCTAGCTACGTACGGACTCTCGTCACCTCGTGCGTACGTAGCACCCACAACTAGTAGCACATAACAATTACATCATCTAGGGGTGGTTTCCCCCTCACAGGGTTAGACATGAGACTTACCTCGCTCTGAAGTTCCATAACCGGCTCCAACGCCACTCTAACACCTCAAATCGATGCCCATCGCTCCAAAACTAGTCAAACAATATGCAAACCAATAAAAATATACTCTAACACTCATAATAAATCAATTTATAACAATCCCCAACTCCGCTCGAAAAGTCAATAAAGTCGACCCTCTAGCCCACGTGTCCGGATTCCAAAAATTTTTAAAAATAAATATTACCCATAACTCATATGGTCTATATTCAGAAAATTATCCAATTATATCCATGAATCGACCCTCAAATCAAGGATTTACCATTTCTCAACTTTAGGGCTCAAAATCTTAATTTCTACAATCCTAACACGGATAAAAATAATAACCAACGGAAATAATCATGGAGAAACATCAAAATAAAGGTCATATATTTACCCCCTTGTTGAGACAAGAACAACGCCGCAAAAATCACCTCAAACGGAGCTCTAGAACTCAAGATATGCCCAAAATATCAAAAATAACGCGGTATGGTTTTTATATACTCAGGGATTTTCGCTTTTGCGACAAAAAATCCGCTCCTGCGCATTTCCAGCTGTAATTTCCGCTTTTGCGGACCAATTTTCGCACCTGCGGGGTAGCAGATGCGGACCCAACTTCGCATCTGCGAAGCAACAACACCAACTCCCTTCTCAGACACTAAAATGAGCATAACTTCCTCATACAATATTTAAATTTGACGATTCTTTTTGCTATGGCTCCGTAATTATGATACGAATCTAATGCTTCAATAAAAATAGAAATTTGATCTCATTTTCTTAATGTGGTACCATTTATGCTTGAAGAAACGAAGTTGAAACATAAAAAACGAGCGCAACACAACCCAAACCTTTTCGAAACTCACCCGAGCCCTCGGGACCATGTCCGAACATACCAATAAGACCCAAAACATAACGCGGACCTACTTGAGGCCTCAAATAACATCAAACAATATCAAAACTACGAATCGTATCTCAAATCGAACTTAATGAACTTATGAACTTTCAACTTCTACAACTCACGCCGAAACATATAAAATCAATCTGGAACGACTTCAAATTTTGCGCACAAGTCCCAAATGACATCAAGGACCTATTCCAACCTTCGAAATTGAGATTCGACCCCGATATCAAAAAGCCCACTCCCGATCAATCTTTCCAAAAACCTTCAAATTTTCAACTTTCGCCAAATGACCACGAAATGACCCACGGACCTCCAAATCCACATCCGGACGCGCTCCTAAGACGAGAATCACCATACTGAGCTATTACTAGGCTAGGAATCCCAAACGGACATTGATAATATTAAAATACACTTCAACCCAAATTTATAAAAATTCTTCCAAAATGCCAACTTTCTATAATAAGCATTGTAACGCTCCCGGGTCATTCAAAACCCGATCCGAATATACGCCCAAGTCCACAATCATCATTCAAACCTATTGGAACCTTCAAATCCCAATTCCGAGGTCGTTTACTCAAAAGTCCAACCTTAGTCAATTCTTCCAACTTAAAGCTTCCGAAATGAGGATTTTCTTTCTACATCAACTCCGAACTTTTTGAAATTAAATTTCGACCACACGTGCAAGTCACAATACCTGAAGTGAAACTTCACAAGGCTTCAAACCGCTGAATGACGCGCCAGGGCTCAAAACGACCGTTCGGGTCGTTACATTAAAAATTCTGGTATTTGAAAAAAAAAAAAGAGAAAGGAAAGAAAAATCCCGAAACTCTGCTGAAGTTTTAGAAGGTCGTTACAAAATAAGTTAAATTTTCAAACATGTCATTTTCCTCGATTTTGAAAAACTGACCGAACTACGCAGGTCTGATTGTCACCGGATGTGAGATACGTAGGCAACCTTCATCAGGTTTGGGCCCAAGTTTTAAAAACAAAATTCAAAAATATTTTCCTTTAATTTATTCTTTAGAAGTCCCTCCTTAAAAAATCCCAAACCAATTTTTTTTAAACCCAATGATATTTTCCTTATTTTTCGAAGTCTTTTATTCGAAAAAGAAAGAACAAATCAAAGTCCAAAAATATATATTTTTTTATTTAGAAGTATTGTTTCCAAAATTAAAAAACAAAATCAAAGCCAAAAATCTAAAAAAATATTCGCTTTCTTCTTTAGAAATCTTTCTTTTGTAAATTTGTGAAAATTGAAATCCAAAAATATTTTCGTTCTTCTTCAGAAGTTTGCTTTCGGAAATAAAAAAGGAAAACTCAGAAATCCAAATTATTTTTGTTCTTCTTTAGAAGTCTTTCTTTTAAGAATTCTAAAAAAAAAAAAAACAAATTTGTA